TCTTGTGTGATCTAAACACCTGGAATGGTTGTAATTTTCCTGATCAATTTGGGTTTTATTTTATGAACACAGTGTCCAGTCTCCGAAAATCCCGCCCCCCCCCCACTTTTGCTGGGGAGGGCATCAGAAGCTCAGAGCTCAATCTGTAACCGCCTTTCAACAGGTGGACATAGAGGAAATTGCGGCACAGAGTTGCAACTCTTCCCTGCTGCCCTGCTTTTCTTTGTTTTCCAGGTCTTGATTTGCTTTTTGCCACCGTGCTTCTGTGTTTATCAGGCCATCTTGGGTGGACGGGAGTTGATAATGGGTAGACCAGTTAGGCAACATGCTTTGAATGGCATCTATGTTTTTCATCTACACAAAACACGGGGATGCTTACATGGTCATTTAATTCTATCTTGCTCTGTTGGGAGCCCAGGAGTTCCATGGAAAAGTCGTGAACCTGTGTTACCCCAGGAGTTTGGACATATGTATGTGATAAAGTGCAGGACGGGGACCTGTTTCTAGATATTCTTCTGTAGGGAGGGACACCGAGGACCCCTAAGGGTGGCAGATTGTGAAAGAGTGGGATAGAACCCCCAGGTGGCCCTGAATGTCCCAAAGAAAGAATAACTCAAATAGGGTGAGAGGCTGTTTTGGACTCCACTGCAAGCCCGCTCCTTGGAGGGGGGAAAAAGGACTGTGGTCTGGAAATAGGGGTCCCAGGCCCGCTGCTGTGGGACTGGTATTAGAGACTATTAGAGACTATTAGAGAAAAGGCGTCTGCTCACTGGCTGATGTTGAAGTGACCACGGGAGCTCTGTGGGTAGAGGCGGCAAGGTGCCCAGGGTGTGCGGTGAAAGGTGGTTGTAATAGGTCCCCTTAGAGGGCTAGGACCAATCCGCTCTCAGCTCAGGGTTAGCTGAGCAGGCCACCAGCCATTGGCAGAGGCCAGGAGGTGAGGGGTGGGCAACTGGTCCAGTAGACTAGGGACAAATGGTGAATGTGACCTTGCTTGGAGCCTGTAAGCTGGGCCCAGAGGTATAACTGTGAACCCTCCTAAATATTGTCTAGAAGAAGCAGAGAACTGATTTAATTAGACCATTGACAAAAAGTTATTAATAACTTCTTCTTTGAGAATTGATATATCTCTATGAAGGTGTTTTCTGCATTGTATCTTAAGTGTATGTTGGTTGTCTTCCTCTATACTTTGCAAACTTTATGAGGGTAAGAATCATATCTGTTGATTCTGTGCCCCTTTGTTAAGTGTTTCTAGAATAAGCAAGGGAATGGATTCAAATGGGAGAGACCCAACCACTTTGGAAGGTCTTTATCTTTCTGCTCTCCTCTCATCACCTTATAAATGAAAGATTTGGCCCTTGGTCTGGGGGAGTACATTCTCTTTCTGGTCTATTAGAGAGAGCATGGATTCTGTGGTTAAGTTGCAGTGGATTTAAACCTGGCTCCAACACGTCCCTTCTGTGTGACTTGAACAGGTCGCCTAACTCCTCAATGCATCAATTACTTTATTTAAAGGAGGGATAAAATAAAGTTGTGAGAATTAAGTGAGAGCAAATAAGACAGTATGTGCAGCCAGTGCCTTGTGTATCCCCTGGCATGGAGCAAATGCACAAGAGAGCATGTTTCTTCTGTCAGGATGGGCAAGGCTCTGCCGTGGTAACAGCTAACCACTAAGATGTCAGTGGTGTAAGACAAGAAAAGCTGGTATTTTGCTCTTGAAAAGTGGAATGCCAATATTACTGCTTCAGTGACTCTCTGGGTGGCTGTCCTCCAATGAGCATCTCAGGGGTCTAGATAGCTTTCTTCCTTTGATGCCACCACCTTCAACAATAACTGTGAAGATGAAAAGGGAGGCTTTTTATGGGCTAGTCCTACAAACCGTGGATATCCCTTTGTTACACATTTCCAGGGCTTATCACGTGGTCTTCCCCAGATGCAAGGTGGCCTGGAAACATGGTGTCCTTGCGTGCACTAGAAAGAAGACCCAAACAGCATGCTGTACACAGGCCATTGTCTCGGCCACACTTTCTGTTGCTAGCCCCAGAGGCTGTTTTTAGCTTGGGATTGATTCTCAGTCAGCAGTTCCCAGGAACACTAGGGATGCTGCAAGACTGCCCCTGCTTATCAATTCCAGGGAGCCCGGTCTGCTGTCGATGCTGTTGACCTGATTCATTTGTCTTCCGCAGGCCGGCTCCAGTGAGCAGTGGCGATTTAGGGAAAGGAGGGTGACCTCTTAGAGCCACTGCAGCCGCTGCGTGTTTTACATTGTAGATGCAGCATGTTGTGTTTCCATATCTGGGGTATTCAGTCTGCTGTTCTGGTCAGAGAAGGTTTCTAGAAGAGACTTGGGAGGATCGTTTGGGATTTGTCAGGCCTGCAGTGTGGGGAAGGAGCTTTCTCGGTATAATGGGCAGGTACAAGACTTGGAAGAGCAGCTGGAGCTGGGGGACTGGCATGGGCTCTCGGTTCCTCCCGTGTAGCTGGCCTGTGTCAGGCATCCCACTAACATGTACTGGTTCATCCATTCAATATTTATTAAGCGCCTACTCTGTGCCAGCACCATTTCCACTTTACTGTCTAGTGCAGCGGTTCTCAACCTGTGGGTCGCGACCCCTTTGGCAGTCGAACGACCCTTTCACAGGGATCGCCTAAGACCATCCTGCATATCAGGTATTTATATTATGATTCATAACAGTCGCAACATTACAGTTATGAAGTAGCAATGAAAATAATTTTATGGTTGGGTTACAACATGAGGAACCGTATTTAAAGGGCCAGAAGGTTGAGAACCACTGGTCTAGTAGAAGCGGGTTGCTTACCTCCCTTCTTGCCTTTCAAAGGTCATCCTTCCCCACTGTATCAGGGGCGAAGCCTCCTCTGTCACCTTTTCCTCACCTTTCCTCTGGCCTCTTGGGCCTCCCATCCTTGCCTCCTGACTCCTGTTAGTCCGCACTGGCCATTGTCCTAATTCGCTCACTTCCCCAAAGCACCAGCGCATGCGGCTGCCCGGTCTCGTGGAGGAGCACGGAGTTGTGGAGGGCTGTCACAGAACAGAACAGGGAACTGTTTCCAGTTCATGGTCAGACAGGCCTTCTGGACCATCCCGACTCAGCAGTCTCCCACCCACCCCACTGCAGCCTTCCTAGCAAGTACTGAAGTGCATGATTACTTACTAGTTTCCTTGTTTGCTGTCTGCCTGGTTAAATCGCGATAGCATGCCTCTTTAGTAAACCACCATATAGCTAGGAGCTAGTACTCTGCCCGATCTATGCTGGGTGCTCAATTAAGTCATTGTCAGATTATTGAATGAACAAATGAGAGCAAATAGATATTTCAGTTTCTATCAATGTATCATCCACTTCCCATCAGAGGGGAAAACATTCTCATTAGCCATCATCTTCTATAGGTTTCTGCTTTCCATGGTGTTTCTTGGACCCTTCTCCTTTTCTCCTCTCTCTCTGTCTACATAAAACACCCCACATTTCTATCACTTTTTAGTACAAAGCAATTTCATATTCAACTCACTTCTCAAACATGGTGCTAGTGAAAGAGGGTCAGCCTTCCTTTGCCCAGCCTGAGACTCACTGGGGTGCCAAAGCCCATCTTCCGGGTTCCCATGCACAGCAGGGAAGGGAGGTGGAGAAAGCTTTGACCTCCCAGGTGTCCTTCCGAGGTGCTGTGACCAGATTCTGTATTGAATCTGTCGACAGGATTCCCACAATCACTGTAGAGGGAATCCCAGGTGTGGGTACATCGCAGGGGCTTTGTCCTCTGCAGCTGATGGAGACGATGGTGATGGTACCTGAGAATGCAGATGCAGGCGGGGGCTCATGGGGGACTGGTTTCTCTAGGTTGAGCAGAACCTGGCTTGGATGTGTGACATGGACCCAGTGGGTGTTTATGGGATGGGATGCAATCTGAACCCCGAGGAGACAAGAAAGGGGCAGTTGGAAGATGGACTGGGGGTGGGGGGTGGGGGCATGAAACCGGGTCTGGGAGACCGTCAGAGGCTGCAGACCTCAGTCTAGGCGTGGCCTCTGCCTCTGTATCCTCCGGCTCACCTGCACTGTCCTTCCTCCTGTTCCCCATCCCTGGATGCTCGCCTCCTTCACAGCCCTGATCAGTGCACCTCCTCCTGGATATTGTGGCTCCTGTTTCTCTGGACAGACCAGCATTTCCAGTGTTACCTGGAGGGGCTTACAACACATAGCATGTGCTCAGAGTAAATTCTTGTCAAAATTGAGTTGATACAGCTTGTTGTAAAATGGTAGATGGCTTAGATTTTAAAGGGGAAAGCTTTAAACACTGTCAACATTGACTGTATTATCTGCCAGGCGCATGCTTATCTAATGCTTCACATATTTGATTTTTACTTTATGAAAATGATATTTCAAAAATCGCTTTTAGAGGGGTGGAGGCGGATGTTGAGAACTTATTCTGTGCCGGTTACTTTTCATATGTTACTCCATTTCATCCTCGTGATATTTCTGTCAGTGGATCTTTCCCTCCGTATCACAGGTGGAGAAACTGAGGTACTGATTAGACAGATGGCTGAAGCCCCTGGCCCGGGCCGACACAGCTTTGCAAAGCTCAGATCGGGCCTGGTTTTGCGGGACTCTGAAGCTGTGCTCTCTGCTGCCTCGCAGCATCTCTCTGTGCTGCAGGAAGCAGCTACCGAGGCATGCCCCGGCATTCATTTCTTCCTGCTTAGAATGAGACGTCGCTGTTTACTTTCTCAGGAAGGAAGATTAAAATCAATGTAGCTAGCCTTATTAACTTTTTAACATAGGGGGGACCTGTAGATGCCAGCGCCTTTCCTGAGAGCACCAAAGCAAATATAAAAATCCAATTTGCTTGCCCTTATTTTTAATCTTCTCCAGAGTTTAAAATTCAAAGGTCTAAATGATGAGACAGGAGTAACGAACCAAGCCCCAGACACGAGGATGTATTTACCCATATCTCTTTTGTTTGCAGGCGGCTGTTCCTTTGATGAGCACTACAGCAACTGTGGTTATAGCGTGGCCCTGGGGACCAATGGATTTACCTGGGAGCAGATTAACACGTGGGAGAAACCAATGTTGGACCCAGCTGTGCCCACAGGTAGGTACCCACTGTGTTTGGCCCAGGTAGGTGAGCCACTGTGTTTGGGCCTGTGATGAGGATGGTATCTTCTATGATGACTCATGGGAAAGAACTTTCTGATGGGTTAAGTTGTCTGAGAGGGCAATACACAACTTGGTTGGTAGTAAGTTCCCCATTCTCAGAGGTATGCAAAACAAGGCTGAGTGAACTCTTAAGGATGTGGTAAGAGTCACATGTTGCCTGGACGTAGGAACCTTTAGGGTTTCTTTTAGCTTTGATATTCTAACCTTTAGCTCCAAGTGGAGCATCACAGTTTTGCTTGGGAGCCTGATAAGAGTGGCATTTCTAGGGAAGAAAGAGCTTCTGAAGAATCTGAGGTCATGTTTTTCCTTTCAGGCCACACAGACACAGCTTATATGTATGAAGGGAAACTTCCACAGTGAAAATATTGCTCATGAAGTTAATGTCCAGAGATCTTGAATATCACATTTATGCTTAACCAACGGGCTGAAACCATAATGTGCACCCTTGATGGAGACCCGCATGAGTCAGGCTTATGAGATGTGTTGGAGGGGAGGTTCACCTGGAAGAGGTGTGCTCGGGGTAGGGTGTGCCTCGGTGAGTTGATATGGTAAGCCTGCAAGAATTACAGCTCCGAGAACATTAAGATCACCTTTCTGTAAAGTGTGATCCCTGCTGCAGTTATCAGGATAGCTGATTGTTGGATAAGGGAGGCCATCTTCCACTCTTCCTCTGTGACCAAGAGCTCTCTCTAACCCCTACACTGTCTTGGCTTTTAAGCAACCCTCTTGGCGCTCTTTCTCAGGCTCCTTGGTCAGCTCACTCTGGCCATTAAAATTGGGGTTCTTCAGGCTTCTTTACATCCTTTGCATGTGTCTTAGGGTTCTCCAGAGAAATAGAACCCATAGGATATACAGGGACAAACATATAAGAGGAGATCTATTACAGGGATTGACTCACACAGTTATGGAGAAAGCCCCCTGAGAGGTCCATGATCTGCACTCTGTAAGCTGGAGAATCAGCAAAGCTGGTGGTGGGAGGGTATGAGCCCTGATCTGAGTCCGAAAGCCTGAGAACCAGAAGCACCAGTGTCCAAGGGAAGAAGAAAGATGTCTCAGCTCAAGCCGAGAAAGAACAAATTCACCCTTCCGCTGCCTTTTGGTTCTGTTGGTGCCCCCAAGGGATTGGCTGATACCCACCCACATTGGGGAGGACTGTCTGCTGTACTGAGTTCACCAGTTCAATGGTAATCACTTCTAGAGACATTCTCACAGGACACCCAGCAATAATGTTGTACCAGCTGTTTGTGTATCCCTTAGCTCAGTCAGGTTGACACGAAATAAACCATCCCACCATGGGTGACCTCCACCATGCCTGTGGCTTCAGTCACATCAGACATCTCTTCTCAGCTCTGCATTTACACAATCCACTGTGCATGCCTTAGCGGATTCTCGGGGGAGGGATCTTCCAGGGTGTCACTTATCTGAGGACAGAGAAGGTGCTCAGATGTGTCTTGGGGAGGTTATGGTCTTTGTGGCCGCATTGACTTTAAGTTTTGCTCCAAAGCAGGAAGCTACTGGATGGCTCAGTATAGTTCCTACTATGGGTGTAAATTGTTTTGATAAGTTTCTTCTGAGTGTAGACATGAGCCCCACGTATAATGAAGATGTGCTGTGCTACAAAACTGAGCCTTTCAGATCTGGTGGGATCTTCACTTTGCATAAGCAGAGTCACCAACAACTACACATGCCCATTAGTACAGTGACCATGGGACAACCTCTCTGCCTGTTGCCCCATTACAGTTTTTACTCTCAAAAGTGTCTTGGCCCTAACCAGTTTGGCTCAGTAGATAGAGTGCCAGCCTGTGGACTGAAGGGTCCCAGGTTCGATTCCAGTCAAAGGCATGTGCCTTGGTTGCGGGCACATCCCCAGTAGGGGGTGTGCAGGAGGCAGCTGATCGATGTTTCTCTCTCATCAATGTTTCTAACTCTCTATTCCTCTCCCTTCCTCTCTGTAAAAAGTCAATAAAATACATCTTTTAAAAAAGTGTCTTGGTTTAAATGCTAGAAATACTCATTCCATTAGGGATCCCAATAGTCCAGAGAACCTGTGCTGAAACATACCACGTCTGCTCTGCTCTGCGTGGCTGTCCTTGATGTTGGCCAATAATTCTAGTTCTTATAGCATGCGTGCGTGCGTGTGTGTGTGTGTGTGTGTGTGTGTGTGTTTACATGCTCCTTCTGCTCTTCGTTAGCCCACCCGAAGCCCCATAGGCTCTTGTAGGCTCTCCAAACTCAACAGCTCCAACACTGAACTCTTGATTCAGCCATTGTCCTTCCTCATCTGCTCACTCTCTAGTTCCTTGTCTCAGGAAAGGCCACTTCGTCCATTCTGGTGCTGATTCGAAGCCTAGGGCTCATACTCCTGTCTTCCCTCTCTTCATCCCCTCTTCCTGCCAGTCACTTGGTTCTGCCATTTGGCCTCCTCAAGTGTGCTTGTATCTCTTCACCTCCGCCACCACTGCCCCGGTGCACACACCATCACCTCTTCCTGGGACACGAAGGTTTTCTAACAGGTTTCTTGGCTTCCTCTTTTATTTAAATCCTCTCTCCATACAAAAGCCAAAGAGATTGTCCTAGAATATGGACCTGTTCATGTTACTTCTTCCCTTTATTGTCCCCACCTCTCTTTGCTTAGAATCTTTCTGAAGCTTCAGATTGTCCTGCAAAAGAACACCAAGCGCTATGGTGGCCTCCAAGTCCTGGGATGACTGGTCCTGCACCATCTTCCATTGTTCCCTGTGCTCACTTCACACTGACTTCTGTCAGTTTCCAGAATGTTCCATGCTCTTTTCTGCCGCAGAAACTCACTTGAGAACAGCACTCTTCACAGAACCTTTTTCTCTCTGTGCTCTTGTCCTTTCCCTTCACACCTCATCTTAGACATCACTTCCTTGTGGTAGTTCTCCCTGGGTGCCTCCACCTGGGTCCGCTCTCTGTACGTTTCCCATCACCCCCGCTCTCTTTCTCAGTAACACCCACCACTGAGGATGCTATTGGTTCAGTGTATGTTTTACCCCCAGATGAGAAGTTCCACGTGAATAAGGACCATGACAATCTTGTCTGCAGCTTTATCTCTAGTGCTTAATACAGCGCATCATACATAGTATGTACGAAATAACATTTTTGTTAGGTGGATGCCTATAGATGGGCAAAGAGTCTCTATCACATAGTTTTAAATGAAGGATTGCATGATAAACATTATTAAATACCGTTAGCCTTCTGTGAACTGACCACACATTTTTAGTCTTTGCTGCCATCCTTCCATTTTACAGATCAGAAAATCAAGGCTCTGAGAAGCCCGGTGACACTGCTGCCTTTGTCACCGTGTGCCAGTGCCTCTCCCCAAAGGGACAACTCTGGCTTCTGATCTTAATTTTCTCATCCCCTCATTATGGCAGACTGCATTTCATAAATATTGGATTGTGCTAATACAATCTTTGGAGCTTGTCTAAGTAGAGGCATTTGATAACGATCACTGAAATTGTTCTGTCGTGATGTGCCTGTGGATTTCAGCGGCGCCCCATGCTTCTTAGGCAGAGAGGCATGAAAGTGAATTTGGATTAGACGAAATTGTTTGTTCTTCCCATGGGCACAGGCTGAAGTCTTACTTTTTCTTCTGTAAAGCCAGTAGTTTCATCTCTTTGGAAATCGAGCTTGAGTCTATGTATTCAGATGGTCCATCACCTTTCACTGAACTGCTTCTGTGTGACAAGCTCCGTGTTAGACCTTGGGTAAATCAGACCGTGTCATTTTGGGCATTTATCCCTCTGGTGGCTTCCTTGGTCACATAGGATGAAATCTGAACTGCTGGCTGTGGCCTGCATGGTCCTATATGATCCAGTGTTTTCTCTGAGCCCCATTTCTTCTCTCTCAAAATGCTGCACACACACTGGCCATTTTGGTTCCTTGGACACGTGTCAGATTCTCTCTTGCTCAGGACCTTTGCATATTCTGTTGGAATTCCTCTCTCTCTCTCTCTCTCTCTCTCTCTCTCTCTCTCTCTCGGTTAATCCTCACCTGAGGATATTTTTCTCCATTGCTTTTTTTAGAGAGAGTGGAGAGGAGGGAGGAAGGGAGGGAGGGAGAGAGAGAGAGAGAGGGAGAGAGAGAGAGAGAGACATCGATAGGAGAGAGACACATCAATTGGTTGCCTTCTACATGCATCTGACCTGGACCAGGGATCGAACCTGTAGCCCAGATACGTGCCCTTGACTAGGAATCAAACCCAGGATCATTTGGTGCACGGGCTGATGCTCTACCCACTGAGTGACATGGGCTAGGGCTCCACTCTTATCTTGGCTGATTTTTTCAGGTCTCAGCTCAAATGACTCCTTCTCAGGGGGACTGCCCCTCATTGGTCTATCTAAAGAAGGACTCCCTCGTTCTCACGCATTGCATTCTGTTCTTTGCTATCAAAGTCCTCATCACAGACACACTTACTCCATACTCTGCCTCAGCCGAGTGCCGCAGTTTCCTCATCTTCACCATGGGAACCAGTGTGAGAGTTAAATGGGATGATGCCTGTGTGGGTGAGAAGTGTCCACACATGTTGGGGCTTAATCAGTGCTGGCTCCCCTTAATTCTCCTCTGGTTCTTACTGTCTAAGTCTGTTTTAGAACCTTGCCCCCTCCTGCAAGCTCACCTGCCACCCATGCTGTTTTACCCAAGTGAGCCTTCCAGCGGGAGGTCTGCCATGGACCCCCGAGGGACCTGAGAGATCTTTCCATCCCCAGGATTCACGCTGCCCCGAGGGCTGGAGCACCTCCTGCATCTCGGCTCTGTTGGTTCAGCGTTACCCACACCCGTGTCACATTCTTCTCCTTGTCCCGCTCTGTGGGAAAAGTCTGGGCTAGCCTGCCAGGCTTCAGGCCTGGTTCTCCCCCGACCTCATCGTAACTGGGGCTTCCACAGAGGAGTGGGGTTATTACAGCCACA